AGATTTAGCAGAACACTATAGTTAAGGTTCAATTTAGGTAGTATGGACTGAAGGTAAGGTCGGTTGGCAGGACTTAGTGTACTAAATTTTCATGACAGTCTTATATATATTAAAAATCTGACATTGCAAAGTAACGTGTCTAGACATATTATAAAAAGATATTAACACAGAACCAACGAAATTTTGGCATTTTTAACAATACTGCAGTGTGTGTATACTGAAGAATGGTAGTTAGTCTACAGGGAGCCGTAGAGTAAATCAAACCATATATGATAAGAGTATAATCAATAATATAATTCGTATATCAAATATTACACTAGGTTCAATAATTGAGTGTTATAAGGGAAACAAGCGTGGTAAAGCAAGAGAACATTTGATGCATAAATATTTTAAGTATTTTAATATCCATCTAATTTAAGAATTGAACATGCATGATTAATAAGTATTATTATATTAGTATATACATATGTAAAACGTTAAAAGGTGTGGATGCTATTACAATTATTTCCAGTGTTACTTTTACCAACACAACTTAGTGAAAATTATAGAGAATAGAAATCAGTAAATTAGTTAACGTTCGCTGCGTGAGTATTAGAGTCGAGATATACGTATGTGACTATACTGAAGACTGGACTGGCCTTCAATTTCCGTTCTACCAACAGTTGTGGTCTTTTAGACGAGCTAGGGTGGACATGTTAAAGTGTCTTTCTAGGCTCCGTTTGAACCCATCAGGGTTTTCACAACATCTTATTTCAGGTGGTAGTTGGTTCCAAAGAGTGCAATATTTTATGGTGAAAAAGTTTGCCCTAATGGATTTTCTGTGGGTAGCCACCTTGACAAGGTAGTCGTGGTTTCGCAGCTGATATGATTTAATATTTTCCCAAGTTATGGATGAGTTACTGTAGCAGTGTTTCCTAATGACTTTGAAGAGTAGAAATAGGTTGCACTTCACTCTCCTTAACCACAGAGGCTCTAATTTCAGACGTACACACCTGTCAACATATTCCACTTGTTGGTCGAACCCTATTATGCGTTTCGTGAGGAATCTCTGGACACTTTCGATTTTTTTCTGTCTACAGTCCTGAGGTTACTAAATAGGAGAGCACAATATTCAAGTTTGGGACGGATACATGTCCTATATATAGCTAATCTTGCTTCTTGGGTGTAGAAGTTACGCAGTACAAAGCCAGTAAGTCGTTTACAGTCAGATACAACCTTATTTGCATGATCGGAAAAGGATAAATCTGAGTATGTTATCCCGAGATCTGTGACTGTGTTCAGTTTTGAGAGGAGCTTACCGTACATATATAGGCACATTATCGGTTTCCAGCGTCCAAGGTGGGTTATACCGCACTTGTCTGGGTTGAAAGTCAGTTGCCACTTTTCGCTCCAATCGCCTAGATCATTTAAGTCTTGTTGGATCTTGCTTTCGACGCTCATATCACCGTACCCATAATCATATACTATCTTGAGATCATCTGCAAAAAGGTATGGCTTGCCATACTTGATTACAGAGACTATGTCATTTATAAATAAGAGGAATAGAATAGGGCCAAGAACACTACCTTGTATTACACCACTGGTTATCGGCTTTGAGGAAGACAACTGGTGGTTGATTTTGACTAATTGCTCTCTTTCTGTGAGAAAAGAACTTATCCATTTGTGAAGATTTCCGGTTATTCCGTAGGATTGGAGTTTTGTTAGGAGTCTGATATGTGGGACTTTATCGAAGGCCTTGCTAACGTCAAGAAACAATGTTGTTACCGAACGCCCATTATCAATGCTTTGTGTGATGTAGTCAAAATAATCTAAGTGGCAAGTAATGCACGACCTTCTACTTAAGAAACCGTATTGGGATGGGGATAGTAGGTCATTTGACAGCAAGTACTGAATGATTTGAGTCTTAACTATCTTTTCCATTACACGTGAAACTACAGACGTGATGTTGATGGGGCGGTAGTTGTTGATATCAGCTATAGGCCCGTATTTATGGATAGGTACAATATAAGACTTCTTCCAGCAGTTAGGGTATGTCCCATCGCTTAATGAAATTGAGTATAACTTGAGTAAGAGTAAACTCATGTCATTACCACCTTTTTTCAGCAGAACGGAAGATATACCGTCTGGGCCAGTAGTGTTACTAAGCTTAAGATTTGCGACAGCTTTATCGATCTCATGTGTGGTGAAAATTATGTCACTTAAACATTCGTCTGTTTTACGTGGGAAATCCACGACTTCATCGTTCTCTAAGGTGTATAATCTGGCGAAGTGCTTGCTAAACAGTTCACATATCGCCTCATTATTTTCGTAAGCAATGCCGTCTAAGTATATTATTTTCGGATAGGGTGTTTTGGAGTTCATCAACCTACTTTTAAAAAGTTTGGCTATTTCTCCTGAGTTATGCGGTGCATGAATGGCCTGCATTTCTTTGTTTCTGAGGCCTATATTTCTCAACTCTTCAATTCTACTGAGAAGGGACGTTATGGCAATTAATGACGATAAGTCATGATATCTGTAGTATTTTATTGAGTGCTTACGTAGACTTCTTCTAAACGATGTCGGAATATAATCACTTTGGGGGAATCTGAAGTTAAGAATCTTCTCGGGTGCAATGACGTCGTGAATTGAGTTAATATTCTGATAGAAGTTGTTAAGAATTGCATCTAAGGACTGGTTCGAAAAGTACGAGTCCCAATTAGAACATCTAATTAGGTGCTGATACAAGTCCCAGTCAGCATGTGTGTACAATCTCATAGGTATCTGGCCAGCTTCATCTCTGCGTTTTGTTTCAGGAAAGATGTCAAAAGAACAAACTACTATTCTATGGTCACTACCTGGAAATTCATGTCCCACATGTACGGTAGATGGCGTTATGTTGTTCGTGAAAATAAGGTCTAGGATATTTGCGGATCTAGTGGGTGAATTTATGTGTTGTGTCCACCCTCCTGTGACGATGGAATTTATGAGATTATCGTACCTTTGGGGTCCTCGGAGTGAAGACCATGATACTTCTGGCAAGTTGAAATCGCCTCCGATAATTTTATAACTGAAAGGAAGATTGGCTGTAACATTAAAGATATTGCTAAGCATATTATCATATTCCCTGCTGGATGAAGGGGGCCGGTACACACAACCCACAAGTATAGGTTTACTTCTGACAACTTTTATTTCGACCCAGATCGAGTCATTGAGTTGTGACAGAATTGGGTTACTAAACTGGGTTGCACACATGGATTGTTCACAGTAAATTAGTGTTCCACCCCCACGACCTGTCTGTTTTCCCCGCGAAAAAGGTTGTATTTATCAATCCTTAGGCTGTCATTGGAGATTTCACTTGTGCACCAAGCTTCGGTGATCATAATCAATGACGGTCTGCATATAGAAGCTATTGTACTTAGTGCTAAGTGTTTGCTTAGAACTGATCTCGTATTTACTAGGATAATAGATAAACACTGGCTATGTGGTTTCAGTGAGCGGACAACATCTTGGTAAAATAATCCGTGAGTATCCTCTATATACATGTTATCAGACTCATTTACCAATAACTTTGGATCGTAGGAAGACTTCAGGTAGATTTTTGAGGTGGTAGTCAGGGATGGGCTTACGTTTAGATATGGTATGCAGTGAGAGACAACTGTATGATAATCAGATATTAATATTTTAGAGATATTAGTATCCGCGATTGGTGTCGACACTGTGTCACCTATCTCAAGGGAAATATGCCTTAACAAAGCTATGGAGTGTTCGCTAAGCCAGCAAGAAATTGATCCGATATCATGCGTGATATATGAATGATGCAAGGTGTTCATATTAACTGATGTTAGAGAAAATCCTGCCAAAAGGTATAACCGATATGTGTACTCGGTAATTTGTTGCCAGTATAAGAATGAATTGTTGGTATCTGTTTCTGGCATTCATCAGACCATGGCAAGTTTTGTGCAGAAATCGGCACATGCTCCCCACTAGACACATAAGATATATGAATGGGTTCTGTTGGCTTGCTAAATGTGGTCTGTGGCCGATGTTTGGGGTATTTTCTATAACTTTCAGTCGACAGAATATTAGAAAAAGACTCGAAACAACTTCAGAAGTAAGCACGACGAAAATTTTAACAAAATTATGTAATAACAACAAGGTACGAAAACAACGAGTAAACACAATCAATCCAAAAAACACCAATTGATATGACACACCACACATATATACAAACAGTACAAATAACCTCACGGATCATGTCTTGTATCGTAGAATATAGATGACGAACAAACATAGGACGTATCTGGTCAACCAAGTGTAGAAACATAGTAATTTACACCAAAGATAATAACATTCAAATAGTAACTTGAAACTAGAAATGCCTTTATTCGTGAAAGTCGACTTAACAATTACTCTCTCGCTTACACTTGGCTATCCTCAATAAACTGACCAATATCTTTCGTCATTTCAAACGCACCAATACTATCATAGTCATTGCACAAGATACTGGAGTTGATGGATGTGAATGGAGTTGAAGATTGAACGATCAATTCTTGGTTGTTTGCTCAAAATCAACTTCCCCAATTTTCGCGGAGGCATCAATACGACAGTCATCGTCTCATCGGTCGCTGTTCAGATAGAAGAGTGAAACATCGTCAGAAGTAATATTGTGATTTATTATTGTAATATTTGTTCACAGACCTTAGTTCGCTTATTATTTTTGTATCTTGGTGTACAATAAAGAAATATCAAACGGCAGATCGGTGTTTTGGTTTTACGTCCATTATAACTAATAGTTTCTGAAATCTTCGAAGAACAGCGTGGGCCCGAGCGTAGCGAGAGCTGGGAATTAACGGTTTATGAGACGTGATTGACAATGGACCTCCCGTTCATTGTGGATGACAACACCAACGACGACTGATTGATACCAGTTGATGAAGTTAGCGGTGGATCAGAAGCTGTTGTTCCTCGGCTTTCAGAAATTTGTCTACCTGCAAGACCACAACCACTTCTGTCTTTTACTATCAGCCAGGTTTAGCACTAGCATCTGATGATAGGTGAGCTACATGCTGATCAATTACACTGACGGTCTGACAAGTATGCATGCCTTCTGAAACTGCACCTGCATTTATTTCTACTTCACGTTCAAGTTGTACAGAGACTTTCTTCAACTTAGCAGTAGTAGGCACTCCCCTCATTTCATCATGATCAACCAAAGACAACTGTGAAGTATCATGATCATTATCACGAATATTCACTTTACCGTCAATTTCATCATTTTCAAACTCTTTAATAACAGAAGTAGACAATTTTGGTTCCTCCTCGCAAATCATAAAAGGCTTTATAACTTCACTCTGACTAGTAATACCTTGTAAACTTGTGGAGTCAGAACTCCACTCTGAAGCAGCAACTCTATTCTGTGACACTCTATTCAACAATGGCTTACCAGTTGCAACTACAGACTTCTATACAACAACGTTATCGTCACACAATTCGGAGTCAGGCCTGGAGTTTACATTTAGCTTATCACTAAACTTGCTTACTGGTTCACAGTTCACCTTTGTACACACTACTTGCAAACGTGTAAAACACAGCCGTGCTTGTCTTGCATCTTGTAACTTATCTGTTGAGGATGTACTACGAAACGTGTTACACTCACTAGGTCTATATGCATTACTAGACATCATGGAGCCTTCTCGATATCCACCTCTCTGAGGCCTATTCGTCATCAATGATTGCGTTTTACCCTCAGACTGCTCTATTCTAGGGGTGAGATTCAATATACTGGCAAACTCGCTCGTAGATTGATTGACACTATTATTTACCAGTTTCAGGATATCATCAAATTTGGCTCGATACCCTCATCCTCCATACGGGAGCTTATCTTCACCCACTTCCTTTGCAGTCGAGTAGGTAGGCGTCTTGCTATTACTTCTAGTATAAAACTCGAGTTGAGGTCACTCATGCAATTTATCGAAATCATTGCATTCTTGTAAATTAGCAAATTATCTAAAAACTCAGTGAGTGCATGGGAGTCATCCTGTAATTGACCACCATTACCCTTAACAGCCTCGAATAATTTCCCTACAATCATCGAAGTTCTTCCTAACCTTTGACGTAGTATGCTCATAGCCTCGTAGTAGCCCTCTTTTGGCTTCATAAACTTACAGCACTGTATAGCTCTCGAAGCATTTCCAGTGCAATATCTCATCAAATACATCAATTTCAATTCATCACTTAATAGAAAACTACTCAACATGATCTCAAACTCCTTTACAAATTGTAAATAATCGGCCGGGTTTCCATCGAAACACCGTGGTTCAAACTTAGGGAGTTTGATGTTCCTTTTATCCCTGAACGGCGAAACAGTAACATCAACCATATCATGCTTAACATCAGACACATCGTTACAATTAACAGACAAGTCACAATGACTTACTTTCCTGTTTGCATCCAAGACGCTCTGTCCCTTCTTTGATCCAGGCATTGTTGAACTTGATCCAATTCCAAAAACGTTCCAGATATTGCTTGTTCAAAGAGGACTTGACCGGCACCAGGAAAGATGAACGGTAACTATCCAAACTGTTACCAACGGTCCAAACCCGTCGAAAACTGACGTTGTACCGTCAGAAACTGTCAGCCACGTCTCATAAACCGTTAATGCCCAGCTCTTGCTACGCTCGTGCTCACGCTGTTCCTTGAAGTTTCTCAGAAACGCTTAGTAATAACGGACGAAGAAACCAAAACACCAATTGGTGACTCGAGGATTCTTTATTGTTACACCAACATATAAATGACGTATGACTAAGGTCTGTGAACAAATATTACAATAATAAATCACAATATTACTTCTGACGGTTTTTTTACTCTTTTTTCTGAACAGCGACCGACGAGACGATGACTGTCGTATTGATGCCTCCGCGAAAATTGGGGAAGTTGATTTTGAGCAAACAACCAAGAATTGATCGTTCAAACTTCAACTACTTTGACACTAGCGAACACACGACGTATCTGACCAACCAAGCGCTGGGACAGTGTAGTTTACGCCAACGATAATAACATTCAAATAGCAACTTGAAACTTGAAAGGCCTTTATTCGTGCAAGTCAGTTTAACAATTACACTCTCGTATACACTTGGCTTATCCTCATTACACTGACAAATATCTTTCGTCTTTTCAACCTGACCGATACTAGCGTAGTCAAAGCATAAGACACGTGATTTCATGGACATCCCTTTCATCGTGGATGACAACACGAACGGCGACTGACTGATACCAGTTGATGAACCTAGCTGTGCATCAGAAACTGTCGTTGTTCTACCTTTAGACGTTTGTCTAACTGCAAGATTACCACCACTGCTGTCTTTTATTACTAGCTCCAGTTCAGCTTTAATATCCATCGATAGGTGGGCTACACGCTGATCATTTACACTGGAGGTCTCATGAGTATCTATACCTTCTACCACCGCATCTGCTCTTAAATCCACTTCACCTTCAAGTTGTGCAGAAAATTTATTTAACTCAGTAGTAGTAGTAGTAGGCATTCCTCTCATCTCATCATGATCAACCAAATGCAAATCTGCACAATCATGACCACTGTCAAAAATATCCACTTTACCCCCATTTGTATGATCAACTTCATCATTTGCGAACTCTTCAATAACAGCAGTAGACAACTTGGGTTCTTCCTCACAAATCCTCAAAGGTTTTACACCTCTACTCTGACTAGTAATACCTTGTAAACTTGTGGAGTCAGAATTCTACTCTGAAACTGAAACTCTCTTCTCCTGCACAAACTGTGGAGTCTTCTGTGACACTCTATTCAACAATGGTTGCAACTACAGGCTTCTTCACCGCACCATTATCGTCACACGATTCGGAGTCAGACCTTGATGACGCTGATCTCACATTTAGCTTACCACTAAACTGGCTCACTGATTCACAGTTCACCTTTGTATACACTTCTTGCAAACGTGTAAAATACAACCATGTTTGTCTCGCAACTTGTAACCTATCTGTTGAGGCAAGTGTCACGAAAGATGTTACACTCACTAAGTTTATATGGATTACTAGACACCGTAGAGCTTTCTCGATATCCACTTCTCTGAGACCCTTTTGTGATAAATGATGGCGTTTTGCTCTCAGACTGCTCTATTCTAGGGCTGGGATGCAATGTACCAGCAAACTTGCTCATAGCTTCATTCAGACTATCTTGTACCAGTTCCAGAATATCATCGAGCTTTAGCTCAGTACCTTCATCCTCTATACGAGGGCTTATCTTCACCCACTTCCTTTGCAGTCGAGTAGGTGGGCGCCTTGCTATTCCCTCTAGGACTGAACTTGAGTTCAGATCACTCATGCAATTCATGGAAATCAACGCATTCTTGTAAGTCAACAGATTATCCATAAACTCAGATAGTGCCTTCGAGTCATCTTGTAATTGACCACCATTACCCTTAACAGCCTCAAATAATTTCCCTACAATCATCGAAGGCCTTCCGAATCTTTGACGCTGTATACTATTAGCCTCAGGGTATCCTTCACTAGGGGGCATGATCTTACAGGACTGTATAGCTCTTGAAGCAACTCCAGTGCAGTACCTCATCGAATGCATCCACTTTACGTCATTATTCATAATAATAATGTATATTCTTAATTTTTTACATGACGGACACCACTTTACAAGTATCATCATTTCGATAATTTATACGGAGTATTATTAAGCACGGTTAGGAGAAATAATATAATAAGCTGCATATTTCCTCCTAGCTATTTATGATACACCTTTTGGGCATGCATATATATTCTTCTAATCGTATATTTAAATTACATGATTTTCGGTCGCTGTCATTTTGTCTTTAGTTTGTTGGAAATATGTCATAACTAGTGATTCAATGGACCACATCAAGAGATATAGAGATATTGACTTCGCATTAACAAAATAAACCCAAGTATTCATTGGATGGCTTACAGATACTTTGGGATATAATTAAAGCTTGAAGTCAATTCCCTAGTATAACAATAAAATTAATCTTATAATAACATACTGTCTTTTAATGCACATGACATTTGACAGACATCATCAATATGATAATAATGTAAGCATGAAATAAGCATGTTTAAAATTTTTCACTAATACAAGATATATATATATATACAAGCAAGGATAATGGAATAATGATAGTAAACACACTTTGCATAAGTTAAAACAAATTTTTTGATATAATCCTGGGGGTGAGGATATACGTGGATTCGTGTTATATTTTCCGCGACTCAGTTTTTTCGTCTTTCATTGGCTAGAATGGTGGCGGTCAATTGGAGTTTGAATTGTCCTTGGGTGCGTGCTGTCGGGTGCTGTCTTTGCGTGGTTGTGTTTGCGTCGTTTGCCAGCATATGTGATAACTATAAACGTGAATTAGACTATTGCAACGCCTTGTTTTTCTTTGTTTGTGCATGTGCTAGGCTTTATTTGTCGTACAATTCGTTGTTTGGTCTGTCGGTTGCTTGCGATGTCAACGAACCGGTGAGTTCTTGTGTTTTTCTGTAATTTAGGTTATACGTGCGGTATTTTCTTGATGGTTATCAATCATCCCTGTATTTCACTGTTGTTTTTTTACGATTTATCTTGGAATAGTTGTGACATAGATGGATCCTAATTGATAATTTTATTTTAGTCCGCTGCAGGTAGTCAATTTGAGTGACAGGAGCACAGATTTAAGTAGAATTTTTGCTGAATACATACTTGGAAGGCGTTTCTTCAGCTGGGATGAACTTGAGAAGTCATTAGCTGAATTTCAAAAAGTGAGGAAGTCATTTAACGCTAACAATGTAGTTATCCTGCACTCACTATGTTCATAACTGCAGCAAAACGATACCGGATGACAGGTTTAAGTACGCTTATGTTGGTTTTAAATGCACTTTTGGAGTGAATCGTACAAGACCTGGATTGAAATTGAAAAACAAGTCGTAAGAAGAAGTATACTATGATTTGATGAATATTTAAGGTCTAAATGTTGCAATTGCTCGTCTTCATTTCGCGTGGTTTTGCGTTATAGTGAATACATAATTGCTTCCCACAATATGGTGCATAATCATCCATGCAGCAGGGTGTACATGCAGAATGACCCATGGTATAGACGACTAACAGTTGAAGAGAAAGAAAATATTGAACCACTTCTTCAGCAATCCCACTCATCCGATGAGATAATAATGCATGTTAAGGAGAAGTACCACAAGGATATAACTCTCATCGACGTTAAAAATATGAAAGCCGCAGTTAATAAAGGTAACGTTGACGTACTTGTTACATACTTAAGGTATTTCGAGTCGTCGT